GGATGCCTCATGCCCTCACTAACTAAAACTTTTGGACTTGGACAAACAGATGGGGAATATGATATTTCAGTGTAATGACTTGCAGGTTTTGTACTTTTCTTATTGTGAATTTGGTTGCATGAACATGAAATTTTTCATGAGACTTTGTCACCTAGTCAATTCTCTTTCTCCAAAGTTACTTTTGCAGATATACTGATTGTTTAAAAATTTAGTTTTTAATAGGTAAAAAGTGACTTAAGTTTTAAACCGGTTCCAAAAATATTCATTGATGTTCTCTTTCTTCCTGAAGCCTCATTTCCAATACTGGGTTTGCCATAAATGTAGAGAAGCTTACTTAGAGCCATTTGTAAAGCCCCAAACTAATTTTGTACTCATAAGTTTGCATTGTTTTCTTAAAGATGTTGTCCAAAGTTATAGGAGCTTCAGGGTGGATATGACCCTGTCTCCCCAGGTTCTAAGTTCTCAATTTCTTATGTGTATCCGAGAACTATTTTATATGCATAGAACTATATCTGTAAATAAATTATTCACCCTTCTGCTTTGTACCCTTGCTTTCTTCAATGCATCTTGAGTATTTTTCTGTGTAACAGGGGAGGTTCCCATCCTTTGCCTATGTTATATTTTCCCTATTGTTTGATGGTTGCATGGTATTCCATTGTATGAAGATAGACTCTGAGGACTCAGTGTATATTTGTTTTGTTTCATTTCTCTTTATTTCCTTAAGTATCTAGGCAGGTTTCAGAGACCTACATGACAGCCAAGAATCTAGTAGAGCCACAGGCTTCAGAAGATGTAGGAATTAAAATAGATCAAATTGGCAGCGGGAATCCTAGCCTTGTGTAATCCCCACCCACTTCAGGTATCTAGGACTGACTCTTATCAAAACAGGTCCCTGGAGACCTGCTATTCATAGCCTACCTTGAACCTGTGCATCAACGTGCTAAGTTCATCTATGATTATGAAACACAAGATTATCTTGCTGAGGCATTTCTGACAATCTGAAGGCAGGAGGGAAGGACAAATGCTGTATAATCGTACTGGACAGGCAGCAGGTGTTGACTTGGAAGGGGAAGACATACGACTACACTGGTGGTCTTGCCACAGTCCACTAAATAACTACCAGCACACACTAACATTTTAGTGTCCTGTGTCTGATGGAAAAGGTTGAACATCCCAGGCCTACAGTGCTGACTATCTTCTATGCCAGGAGATTCAATTATTTTGTGTTCAGACTCTTTATTCTGCCTTCAGTCATCACTTTCCTTCTCACTCAGGACAGTGCACAGCATGAAAATTACATTTTGAATAGCTGGAAATGCAGCCTTTCCATTCTCACTTTCCTCTTAAATGTCAGCTGTCTGACCGTCTATCACAACCTGTTTTCTTTTTTCTTTTTTCTTTTTTTAAAATTTTATTTAAGAGGAAAAAGAGAAAAACACAAAACAAAACAAAGCGGTGTAAGGGTACACGTAATACAGAACTACAAAAAAAAAAAAACAGTAAGAAATCACCTGTTAATAGATTACATATTATCTTCTTAGAAATAGTTGCTCAAATCACAGTATCAAAGAATACAAAGTGGACATTCAAACAGAGAGACTGCAAACAGTTGTGTTCAATGATCCAAAAACATTAATATAGTCAGCTATTTAACACCCCTAAATTTACACACTTGCTGTTATATCCGTTAGAGCTCTTTTTTCCCCCCTCTCTTTTTTACAACAAAATTTACTTTTGGATTTTATTACTCCTTAGTTCTTATTACTTTTTTGGGGGGGAGAGAATAAAGTCAAATATGGCAAAACAAAGCTGTCAGTCAAAACCAAGGATAGACATAGCACATGATGTAAAACAGAGTACAAGGTTATCAACAATGGTTATCAACGTTGTCTCTTGTTTTCTTAAAAAGAATTGTCTATCTCATTAGATATTATAAAGTTGGACAAAGCAGTAGAGAACAAGACCAATAAAACTTAGGCATTGTAAACATTACAGGACTTCCAAAGGAGACAATAGTCAAACCAGAATGGGCATCTTAGTGAATCTTATTGCCTTCAAAGTAGTTGCCTATACCCTCAAACTTGATACTATCATACCGAATGGAACAGAGTCTCATCAGACAAAACAAGATTGTGGGAGTATTACAGGACTTTAAAACAAGTTAATAGGAAATCAAAAAGAGTTACTATTATATATCCTGCTAATTTTTTAAATTTTTCCCCTTAATTAAAACAAACATAAGAAATAACTAAATAATTTTTTTAAAGAATAAGGGAGAGATTGAGATAAAACAGGACATAACAATATAACAATACAGGTCAAAGCATGACTGTTTCAGCAACCTAGTGCTTCACCACCAAATAACCCGACTTAATAGTAGTTACCATAGTGTCTGTCTTTTTCCTTGAAATATTTGGATAAAACTTCATATACTATAGCTTCAAATATTTTCATATCAAGAAGCCCAGAATAAAGCCTTTCTAATTAATAAGTGAAAACTTTATAAGGCTTCAAGGTCACATAATGGGGAATCATGATTACCACATATTTTTATATATTTGAATCATTACTTACATTAGGGAAACTATTGGGTATTCACACATGCGAGATTGATTTATTTCACTTATGAGTATGGTCTCAAGCTGCGCCCATTTATTGATAAATATCTCAATGTGATCCTTCTTTATAGCTGAATAATACTCCATTGTATAGAAATACCACAACTTTTTTATCCATTCCTCAGTTGATGGACACTTGGGTTGTTTCCAAGATCTGGCGATTACAAATTTTGCTGCTATAAACATAGGTGCACATGTATCACTGTAGTATGATGCTTTCAGTTCTTCTGGGAATATGCCTAGAAGTGGAATAGCTGGAATAAATGGGATTTCCAATCCCAACTTTTTGAGAAATCTCCAGACAGATCTCCACAAAGGCTGTACCAGTCTACACTCCCACCAACAGTGCAGGAGAGTTCCTTTTTCCCCATAGCCTCTCCAGCATTTGTTGTTGGTTTTCTTGATCCTGGCCATTCTTTCAGGAGTGAGATGGTATCTCAGTGTGGTTTTAATTTGCATTTCTCTGATGACCAATGATGATGAGCAATTTTTCATGTATTTATTTGCCATTTGCATTTCTTCATCAGAGAATTGCATATTCATCTCAGATGCCCATTTTTGGATTGGATCTTTGAATTTTGGAGGTCTGAGTTTTTTTAATTCTTTATATGTTTTAGACAAGAGTCCCTTGTCTGAGAGAGAGTTCACTAAAATCTTTTCCCAGTTTGTGGGTTTTCTTTTCACTATGCTGGAGATTTCTTTTGACATGCAGAAACTTTTTAATAAGAAGTGGTCCCAGTTATTGATTCTGGGAAGTATTTCCTGTGCGGTTTGAGTCCTGTTCATGAATTCTTTACCTACTCCTATGTCTCCAAGGTTTCTACCCAATTTGTCTTCCAATAGATTTAGTGTTTCTGTTTTAATATTCAGATCTTTGACCCATTTAGATTTTAATTTAGTACATGGTGATAGACATGGGTCTAGCTTTAGTTTTCGGCAAATGGAGAGCCAGTTTTTCCAGCACCATTTATTAAAGAGACTGTCGTTCTTCCAATAAACCTGCTTGGTTCCTTTATCAAAGATAAGGTGGTTGAGTGTGTTTGTAGTTGTGGTTGTATCTTCTAATCTATTCCATTGATCTTCGGCTCTGTTTTGATTCCAATACCAGGTTGATTTTACTACTGTTGCTTTGTAGTATAACTTCAAGTCAGGGATTGTGATGCCTCCTGCTTTGTCTTTGCTGCTTAGAATTGCCTTTGCGATTCTAGGTCTCTTCTGGTTCCAGATGAAATTTAGGAGTGATTTCTCTAGATCTATAAGGTATGTTGATGGTATTTCTATTGGGATTGCATTGAATCTGTATAAGAGTTTTGGGAGAATGGCCATCTTCACAATGTTTGTTCTTCCTATCCATGAGCAAGGGATGTCTGTCCATTTTCTGAGATCATCCTCAATTTCCTTTTTCAGTGTATTATAATTTTCACTGTATAAGTCTTTCACTTCTTTCGTAAGAGTAATTCTTAAATATTTCATTTTTTTGCTTGCTAATATGAATAGTCCAGTTTCACTTATTTCCCTCTCTGTGATTTTGTTGTTCGTGTATAGGAATGCTATTGATTTCTGAGTATTGATTTTGTATCCAGCCACATTACTGAATTTATTTATTGTATCTAAGAGTCTTTCAATGGAGTTTAGGGGGTCTTCTATGTAGAGTATCATGTCATCTGCAAACAATGATAATTTAACTTCTTCTTTTCCTATCTTTACCCCTTTTGTTTCTCTTTCTTGCCTAATTGCTCTGGCTAGTACTTCCAGTACTATATTAAATAGGAGTGGTGATAAAGGACATCCTTGTCTTGAGCCTGATTTTAAAGTAAAGGCTTTCAGTTTTTGGCCATTTAGTATGATGCTGGCTGTTGGTTTGTCATAAATGGCCTTTATTATATTGAGGTAAAGACCATCTATTCCAATTTTCTGTAAAGTTCTTATCATGAATAAATGTTGGACCTTATCGAAGGCTTTTTCTGCATCTATAGAAATGATCATGTGATTCTTACTTTTGGCTTTATTGATATGGTGGATTACATTTATTGATTTGCGTATGTTGAACCATCCTTGCATTCCTGGGATGAATCCCACTTGGTCATGGTGTATAATCTTCTTGATGATTTACTGGATCCTATTTGTCAATATTTTATTGAGAATTTTTGCATCTGTGTTCATTAGGGAGATCGGTCTATAGTTCTCTTTTTTAGTTGGGTCTTTCTCAGGTTTTGGTACTAGAGTAATATTTGCTTCCAGGAATGACTTAGGAAGGATTGCTTCCCTTTCAATTTCATTGAATAGTTTGAGGAGTGTCGGCATTAGGTCTTCTTTGTATTTCTTGTAGAATTCTGCAGTGAATCCATCTGGGCCTGGGCTCTTCTTGGTGGGTAAGGACTTAATTACATTTTCAATTTCATTAACAGAGATTGGGTTATTCAACAGTTTTACATCCTCTTGATCTAGCTTTGGTACTTCATATGCTTCTAAGAATCTGTCTATTCTGTGTTATCAAACTTTTGAGAGTAGAGGTTTTCGAAATAGGTGTTGATGATCTTCTGTATTTCTATTGGGTCTGTAGTGATTTCACCTTTTTCATTTCTTATTGCATGAATTTGAGCTTTTTCTTCCCTTTTTAAAATAAGGTTGGCTAGGGGCTTATTGATTTTATTTATTCTTTCAAAGAACCAACTCTTTGATTCGTTGATTCTTTGGATTGTATTCTTAGTCTCTATTGCATTGATTTCTGCTCTGATTTTTATAATTTCCTCTCTTCTTTTGGCTTTGGGCTTGACTTGCTCTTCTTCTTCTAGCTGTTTGAGGTGTCACAACCTGTTTTCTGGAGAGGATCACACACCCATCTAATTTGCTTACCCCAAATCTAACCCATTACTCCATGTTACTTTTAGTTCATCTATTAATGTTACAGAACAGGTTTTATGTGAATAGTTGCATAGTATTTTATAGTGTAGTCATTGAATATTTTATTTAATGGCCCCATTTCTCACTGTTAGGTTATTGGCCACATTTTGCTCAAATATGACTCAAAGTTAAAATAAATGTGTATATTTTGGTACATGTATATGAGAATATTTCTGTAGGATATGTTGCTAGAATAGAATTCCTCAAAAAATGTGAAAATTTAAATGCTTGAAGAGGTATTTCTAAATTTCCCCCAAATCCATTTAGGTTTCTATCAGGACCATGAACTGAGGTTCACATGCTCAGCTACAGTAGAAGTATTAGTCTTTCTGTTTTTGTGTATCTGATAAGGGAAAATGTTATTTCATGTTTTAAAGGCTATTTCTCGAATTATCAAAGGGATAGTGCATCTTGCATCTTGTTCTGAGAACAGTGAATATTTCTATTTGAGATTATATATTTAATTTCCTAATTGGAAAAATGGCTCATACACTACTATTTTATTTGTGATATGTATGAAGACTATATTCTTATTTTTTTATAAGTGGATTTTCAAAATATTAAAACCTGTTGTGTGTGTGAAGGTAGTGGGTCTTGTTTTTAAGGTTTATTTTGAAGAGGATAAAACCAATCAAAACCAATGTAATAGTTACAGAACTTCGAAATTGCAAAATCCACAATAGTTACTGTAATGCCTCTTGATATCTTCAAAATAGCTGCAGATAACTTTGGACATAATAAAAATCAAACAGAACAGCTAGAAACAAAAACAAAAAAAAATGAATGCAATAAAGAACTTCAAAACAAGCCAATAGTGAATTCAAAATTGCTACCATAATAATTCTTGCTATCTTTGAAATAGCTGCTCCAGCCATTAGATTTAACATAAGTAAAACAGAAGAGAATAAAACCCAACCCAACAAAACAAATGGAAATGATATAGGACTTCCAAAACAAGACCATAGGGAATCAACAATGGCTGCAACCCTCAGAAAGAGATCCTCCCTAGATGCCACACTGTGTACTGCTGTCCTCTGACCCCATGATCAGACCCCTGATCCTAGACCTGCAATGTTACTGAAACAGCAAAGTATCACAGGCATCCAACTGCATTTCACCTCCATAGCCATCACAACAGCCTGTCTTTCTTAGGATAAGCCAGTCGCTGATGGTGGGAAGGGTGTTGGTACTTCTTGTTTGCCAGCCACCAGAAGGGGCTGGAGTGTGGCTGTTCTAGTCTGGTGGTGGCCTATGCATGGCATTGCTTCTAAGACTGGGCTTGCTTGCTGGTGTGGCCTTGTTCTCTCTCTCCCCTACAGTCTGCAAATGTCACTGACTCAAAGAGAGAGGCTGGGCTCTGTCTATTCCAGCCCGGTGGCGGCCTATACATTGTGCTGGCTCCCAGACTGGGCTTACTTGCTGCTGTGGCCTTCTCGTTTCTACCTCCAGTCTGCAAAGGGTGCTGACTCACAGGGAGAGGCTGGGGTCTATCTGTTCCAGTCTGGCAGCAGCCCGCTCATGGTCAGTAGTGGGTCTTTTAAAAAATGATTTTAATTGACAAAATGGTATGCATTTATTGTGAACATGTTGTTTTGAACTATGTGTTCATTATGGAATGACTTAAATTAACATATGAATTATCTCAGGTAGGAGTAATTATCATTGTCATTTTTGTGGTGAGAACACTTTAAACTTACTGTCTTAGTATTTTTAAAATATATATTGTTACTAACTGTACTTATCCTGCTCTACAGTAGATCATAATTCTGATTTGCTTAACCCTTACTTTAGTGCTAACAGAGAAAGTTTCCATAGATTGTGCTACAGGGCAGCAGGATGCTTCATGGCTATGGGCGTGGTCTTTGGAGTCTGACTGACCTGCTTTGGGCTGCAGGTTGAGTCAGATCCTTGCGAAAGTTTCTTACCTTCCCTGTGCCTGTCTCACCACTTTTTGTAAAATAAGTATAGTAAAAGTTCTGAACTCACACAATTTTTGTGAGTTCAGAACTTTCATTTTTTATGTTTTAGCACTGTTGGTGTTTGGACCAGGGGCCTTGCACATGCTAGACAAGTGCTATACCACTGAGCTGGACCCTAGTGCTACCGTCAGCTATAGACACGATAGTAACATAATGCATGTAATGTAGCACAATTGCTAACACTTCAAGGTGCTCAATAAATGCCATCTGTCAAAATTATTATTTATAATGCATTCAGTATATGCAGAGCGTTAGACATTTATGTTTTATTCTAGGTCCTAGAAACTTTCCCAGTAAAAGTTAAATATCCTAGATGGCTCAACCAATTCCCTTTTATTAGACCGGGCATTTCTCATTATGTTTTAGCCAGCCATATGAAATGTTTATTTCTTAGAGTACTAAAATAATTAACTTTCCCATTAATTCAATCTCACTTTTAAGTTCATAGAGTGTTTAAGACCTGAGAGGTTCAGTTATCTTCAAAAGTCTGTTGCATTTCCTCTGGATGAAATTTATTCTATATTCCTTTAAAATATGAAAATCTAAATTTATATGAAATGGAAGGAAACCAAGACAGAAAATTAGAAAACAGAAAGGAAACTTAAAGGCATTTTAGTTCAACTTTTCACTTTATAGGTGAAAGCTGAAGCCCAGGGGCAGGAAGCAACTTTTCTAAGGTCTCACAAGAGGAGGAGAACTCAGACATCCCAACGTGAGAGCAGCACTCTGTGAAACCATGCCGTGTTCAAGGAGCCACTGCTGGTCACCCAGCTTGGTTTGAAAAATCGTCTCCTTGATACAGTCCCAAAGGAAATGAAATCACCACCTTGTTAAAATGTCTCCACGCTCATGCTCATTTCAACACTATTCACAAAAGGAAAATTGTGGAAACAACCTAGGTATCTACCCACAAATAAATGGATAGAAAATGGTGATATTTATTTACCATGAAACATTAGTCAGCCTTAAAAAAATGAGGTAATCGTACCATTCACTACAGCATGGATGGATCTAGAGGATATTTTACTTGGTGCAATAAACCAGACACATAAATAATATTGTATGATCTTACATATGAAATCTAATGAAAAGATTGAATATAGAGAGATGGAGAATGAAACAGTGATTAGGAGGGTTAGTGTGGAAGAAGGAATAGGAAACCACTGTTTGAAAGGACAGATGTAGCAAATATGGAGGATGAGGAGATCTAAAGATTTAATGTCTCCAGGGGTGTAACTCGGCAGCACAGCATCTGCCTTGTAAGCATGAGGTCTTGAGTTTGATTTCTGATTTAGGAAAGAAGAAAAAAAAGCAAGCTACGCCAGGCCCAGGAAGAGAAATTTAGATAGTGCCTCCTGAGAATCAGCCATGCTTGGACTCAGAGAAGCCAGCTAACAAGGCAACTAGCCAGTGTTTCTAGTAAGCTGCACAAGTCCTGCAGAGCCCAGAAGAGAAAGGTCAGATAGCACCTCCTGTGAGCTCACCAAGCCTACTGGCAGGCAGGCTGAGAAGTCTCTGTCCCACAAGCAATCAGCTGATTAGGAGGACGGGCTGAGCGGTTACAGTGTGCAGTATAGCAAACATGGGAGATTTCATTCTATCTTGGTTTTGAAGTCCAATATTATTCTCATTGTTCTGATCAATTGTTTTGCTTTGTTGAATATTGTATTTTGGTTGGTTTTATTGTGGTTTTTGTTTGATTTTGTTATATCTGATGGAAAGGACAACTATTGTGAAGATAACAAGATGCACTATGGTAGCCTTTGTTGTCTTCCTATTGTCCTGGTTTGAAGTTCTGTACCCATTTCACTGCTTTTTTATTGGATTTATTCTGTGTTTTTGGGGGGTTATGACCTTTAAAATAAAATTTATAAAAGATATGATGTACAATGGGGAAGTTAGAGCTAAAACAATTGTACTCAGAATCAAAATTTGGGAGACTGTGTAGATTACAGCTTCTGTTACTCCTATGTGTGGTGAAGGATACATTAATTAATCCACCATAGTAGCTATTTTTCTATAAAGAGTGTGTGGCATATCTTAAATCTATCCAATGAAATACATTTAAAAGCTAACATACAACAATAAAGGTTTTTAAAAGATATTATGAGTCACAATGGTCTGGAGTTTGTCAAGAAAGCAAGGCGTGACACCCTTCTCTAACTGTTGGAGGATGTGGGCACGGTGAGGTCCAGCACCACAGCGCTCCAGGTCTCCTTCACTTTTGTCTATGCTTAGCAGCTCACGTATAAGAAGAGTGTGCAGCCATCAAGGTAGACAGTCCCAGGGGTCCTGCAGGCTGGCTGTTGGCAGTCCCTGGGACACATGCCAGAGATGCCACAGGTGCCAATTACTTGTGGAAAGTGAGTCAGCTGCCACCTGTGGATTACCAGTCACCTTGCTTTAGGTGGATATTGTCTCCACCCTCCTACCTGCATCATCTGGGGCGACACCCTTACGAGAATTCCCAAGCGGCCCCATCCTGGCCTTCCAGCACCACACGCTCAGTAATTGAGCACACTCACTAAAGCAGCCAGCAGCCACTGATCCCTGTCATAAAAATGAGCAAACATTCTCTGCATGATCAAATAGTTATCTTCTTGCTTCCTTCACTCATTTATTTTTTTATTTATATCATGGAGTAATAGCATGTTTTTGATTGTTAATATAGAGTAAGCCAAAACAAGAATTAGGCAAATCTAATGAGTTTACCATACCTCAAAAGAATAAAAGGTAACATATTCCCAGCCTATATATGATGGGTAGAAATCTGGACACATTGATCGTTTAGTTGTTCATTTACTTAAACATTAGTGCTTGTTTACTGAGCACCTACCAGGAATTGTCCTGTTGCTGGCTTTTCAAAGTGTGAATAATCCTAAATCCTCCATGAAAGACTGGCTCAGAGTTCACGTACACCTGGCTGCTTAGTCTTGAATTGTTTGCTACCATTAAATAATTCTATCACCTTGAGCAAATAAATAGCTTCTCTAAACTTTATATTCCCAATTCTTATGTAAGGACTATTGGTTCCTTCTTTACATATTTCACTGTGAGGATATTAAAGCATTTAACATAGTGTGTAAAACAAAGTAACAATTACCAATTATGATTTTAAGAGGATTAGAAATCAGAAGATAGGTCAACCCTGAAAACTTAGAAATGAGATCAATAAACAGTTAAGAGTTACTGTATGGGACAATGTCTTTTTTTTTTTTTATTTAAAGAAAAGGAAACGAAAAAAAAATACATGGAGATTAAAAAAAAAAGGGTAGAAATAATACTAAATTACAGACAAACAAAAGGTAAGAAATTGCCAGTTGATAAGTTACAAATTGTCATCTTCGAAATGGCTGTTCAGGTTATAGAATTAAAGTATATAGAATGACATTCAAAAAAATGACCCTACAAACCATTCTGCTCTATGGCCGAACAAAAGCTCCGTAATATGATTATCAGTCCCACCTATTTGTTTTACATCTCTAAGAGGATAAGGTTAACCATATCAAAACAGAACAGAACATTTAAAAAAAAATAAAAAACAATTTAAAGAAATACAGATTTCAAAGCAAGTCCACTGGAGATCTACCTTATCTAACTGTCTCTAGCTTCTTACAAATAGTTGTCCCTAACTTCACCCACTTTCTATACTTATTGCATATTATAGAACTAATCAAATCATTACAGGATGATGGAGTCTTTTTAGGTCCTCAAGTTCCAAATTAGGGAAGACAATACCAACTACCATCGCATCTCTCATTCTCTTTGTGATAGCCGTCCCCATCTCTGCATATGCTGAAGTTGAGCTGAAGAAACCAGTCCAGAGTCATTTTAATCAGCAAGCAATAGATTGCTAGAATTTATATTATAATGCTACAAAATAAGCCTCGGGTTTTTCTGGTCTCTTCCTCAGAGTATTTGTTCCTATCCTCTCTGTATTATAGGGAAAACCAAGTCATAACAAGACAACGAAACAATTTCCTAGATAAACATGCAATGGATAGGACTTATAAAACTATAATATAAATGATCTTCCGTAGCTACTATGTTTTCGCTTGTTATTTTCAATAGATTTGTCGACAACACTGGCTTATTATAGTTAAACATACTATCACCTATTTTTATAAAAACTTATCTTTGACTGCATTGTAGTATTTGAGAGCTGTTACTGATTCATACCAGTATGGATATCCTTTACATCTTGTCATGCTCAGAGTAGTTTCCTCTACTTTTAGGGTTGATTCTAACACGCATACCGATTTCAAATAGGATCAGTCAAGGCCATCCAATAGTCTTATGATTCAGATACAATTAAGATCAGTCATAGTAAGACAATGTAAGTAATACAGAATTTCAGCCTAAGTCAATAGGAAAGTAAGGATAGTTACCGTGGTATAACCTGCTATTTTTGGTTCTAGAGGTCTGTGTCCTCAAATCTGATATGAGTGGACAGACCAGAACAAATTTAATTCAATCTAAATATGGCACTAGGACTACTGTGTCTTTTAAATCGTTATACACCATTAGCAATGACCTCTGCTTTTTTTTTTTAAATATAGTTTCAGAGCTGTCTCTACTAAAGACTAGCTTACCGTCTCTGCCTCATGTCTGCTACTCCACTTTTCTGCTATAATTTGTCCACCTTATTCCCTCATTCCATGGTCTGCCCCGTTCACTGAGGCTTCTCTGCCACTGTAGCTGTAATCCTGATATCTCTTCCTCTCTTTCTCTGTAATGTCCTTCAGCGCTCTCTGTAGGGTTGGATTGGTGGCCACGAACTCCCACAGTTCCTCCTTGTCTTGAAAGTATCTTATTTCTTCATTAATTTTTAGAGAGAGTTTTGACGGATATATGAACTAGGTTGCATATTTTTTTCCTTCAGGACTTGGAATATTTCTCCCCACTCCCTTCTTGACTTAAGAGTTTGTGTTGATAAGTCTGCTGTTATTTTGATAGATTTCCCATTATAGGTAACCTGCATCCTTTCTCTGGCTGCTTTTAATATTCTGTTTTTTTGGTGGATTTCTGGGATCTCGATTATTATATGCCTAGGCGTAGATCTGTTTTGGTTGTAGGTAGCTGGCGTTCTGTATGCTTCTTTTATCTGGATATCATTTCTTTTTGCTATACGTGGGAAATTTTGCTTTAATATCTCTGTGAATATTTTTTGTATTTCATTTTTGGATGTTCCTGCTTCCTCACTCACATTCTTTATTCTTAGGTTATGTAGCTTTTTATCATCTTCCAGTTTTAGAATTGCTTCTTTCTGGTTCCTTGTTATTTTTAAGAGGCTTTTTCTTTCACGTTCATAAGCCCTAAATCTCTCTTCAAGTTTCAGAAGGTTGTCTTTAGTTTCTGTCAAGGCATTTTGCCAATATTCAATGGAGTTCTTAGTTTCCTGATATTCTCTTTGGATCTGTTTCATGTATTCTAAGTTATGCTTAAATTCTTCTTCAGATGCTTCTCTTTCTTTTCTGATTTCCTCAGTTCTTCCATCTGTGTTCTCTTGGGCGGGGCTTGTCATTTCTTTAATTAATCTCTTTATATCTTGCCTCACTTGGATCAGGAGTACATCTTTAAATTCCTCTATGAGATCATGTAAGTACTTTTTAATTTCGGCTGATGCTGTGTCGAGTAGAGGATGGTTACTGTGCTTGTTCTCTTCAGTGTTTAGTTCTCTTGGGTTTAATTTCTCCTGTTGAACAGCGGGAGATTTTTTTTAATTTTTATTTCTTGTCATGTTTCTGGTTTCTTTCAGACTGTCCTGGAGTTCTCTGGCCCTCTCTGAATTGCTCAGGGCCTTTCAGAAGCGTGCTGGCTTGAGTTTTTGCTGTCCTCCCCAATTTGCTGTTATCTGGGGTAGGCTGGGATGTAGGGGCGGTACAGTCTAGTCTCTAGCCTCTGTGTCAGTTAGTTCATAAATTAGGCTGTACTTTCTGGTTGTCACTGAGTTGTGACTATTTTGTATCTGCTTATTGGGCCCCAAGCAGAGGCTTGGTTTAGCCCCAGTAGCTCCTGCCAGTTCTCTTTGAATCAGAAGCAGCTGAGTAATGGCACAGGATTCTGCCCAGGTCCCAGCCGTTCTCTTCCAAACCTCTCTGTGATAGGAGCACCAGAAAAGCAGATCTGCCCAAAACCAAGATGGCTCCCACTAAGTTCTCTGTGTGGAGCTGAAGCCAGCAAGTAATCAGGCTCTGCCAGGACTCAAGATGTCTTCCACCAGCCCTCCCTACAGGGGGACCTGGTGATGTCACCAAGCTGCGGTTTCTGCTGCCAGGCTAATATGTCTGCACCAGACTCTGCGTTATTGATTTCCCCGTGGTGGCGGGCCAGCTGTTCTCTGGCCAAACCCAGCAGCCGCGGGGTTTTCTGTACTCACCAGAGTCCGGTGCAAGTCCCCACTCCGGGACCACCGCACACCAAGCTGTCCACTTTTCCCCCACTCGCGGCTCAGCGCTGACCGGTCAGATTTCTGTGCACCGTTTAGATTTGAAACGCCAGAGGTTTGTACGTCCGCTCTGGTGCAGCGGTGCAGAACTGGCTGCTACTTGGAGTCTCGATCTGGGTCTCAGTTTCCCGCGGTCCCCAAAAGCAACTCAGCTTTTCGTGCTGGGTCCACGAGTCTGTTTGTTGATTTAAGGGCGCGGGATTTGCAGCCTCCCGTCTCAGCACGACTTTAAATCCTCCAGCTGTACTGTCTTGGTTAATAAGAATCGCTATTGATTTGTCTGGTCCTCTCCATGCTGTCTTTTTTTAGCTTTGAGTTTGAATTCTCTGGAGAGACTCTTCGCTCGATCCCCTAGCTCGCCGCCATTTTCAGCACCTCCCCGGGACAATGTCTTTTTTCAACTCCATTTTATTCAAACATAAAAACAAAAAAGGAGGAGGAGGAGCAGGAAGAAAAGGAGAGGGAGAAGGAGAAGGAGGAGGAGAAGGAGAAGGAAAAGAAGAAGAAGAAGATGAAGAAGAAGAAGAAGAAGAAGAAGAAGAAGAAAGAAGAAGAAGAAGAAGAAGAAGAAGAAGAAGAAGAAAAGAAGAGAAGTGTATCAATCAATGGCAACAATGGTACATACATTGTACATTGTCATCCCCAAATCATTCACCAAAACACAATTGAATTATTGTCTGAACAATACCAGCACAAATCTTTCTCTTTAGTGAACTCAGAGAAATCAGTAGTATAAGTATCCTAGCTATTTTATATACCTATACATATACATGTACATATACATGTGTTTTTTTCTTTCAGCTTTTCAACATTAATTAAACAATATGATGTTTACACATGTGTGTCTTTTTCTGGGGAGTATTAGGGATTGAACTCACAACCTCATGCTTGCCAGGAAGGTGCTTATGCTGCTCTGCCTAATCTCCAGCTCAACACTTGTGTGTCTCATTTATTTCACTAATGAGTTCTCAAGATGCATCCATTTACCTACAGAAGTGTCCAGTTTATCATTATTTATGGCTGAGTAGTACTCCATTGTGTAAAAATACAACTTTTTTTAATCCATCCCTCAGTTGATGGGCATTTAGGTTGTTTCCAAGATTTAGCTATTATAAATTGTGCTGCTATAAACATGAGTGCACATATATCTCTGTGGTATAATTCTTTTGGAAAGATATCCAGAAGGGGAATAGCTGGATTGAATGGGACTTCCAATCCTAGTTTTTTGAGGAATCTCCATACTGGTTTCCACAGTGGCTGCACCAGTCTACATTCCACCAACAGTAGAAAAGGATTCCTTTTTCTCCACAGCTCCTCCAGCATTTGTTATTGGTTGATTTCTTGTTACTAGCCATATTTCTGGGGTGAAGTAGAATCTCAGTGTTTTAATTTGCATCTCTCGAATGATCAGTAATGTTGAACATTTTTTCTACATATTTATCCACTGTTTGTATTTCTTCATCTGAGAAGTGTGTATTCATCTCACATGCCCATGTTTGGATGGGGTCTTTAAATCAGGGAAAACTGATTTTTTTTTTTTTTGAGTTCTTAATATGTTCTCAAGAGTAATCCTTTGTTTTAGGTACAGCTAACGAACATTTTCTCCCACATTGTGGGTTGTCTCTTCATTGTGTTAGTGATATCTTGCTGTACAAAAGCTTTTCAGGAGGGTGAGATACCAGTCATTGATTCTTTGTGATAGTTCCTGTGCAACCTGGGTTTTGTTTATAAAGCCTTTGTATGCACTGAAGTCTTCAGGACTTATCTTTCAGCAGATTTAATGTTTCTGTTTTAATATTAAGATCTTTGATCCATTCTGACTTCAGCTTAGTACATGGTAAAAGATATGGGTCCAGTTTTAATATCTGGCATTTGTAGAGACAGTTTTGCCAGCACCATTTATTAAAGATGCTTTCTTTCTTCCTGTGAATATTTGGCACCTTTGTCAAAGATAAGATGTCTTAGCATGTCTGAAGTTGTTTCTGTATCTTATAATCTATTCCGTGGATTTTCAGGTCTGCTTTTTTGCCAGTACCACACTTTTTTATCATAGTAGTTTTGTAGTATAATTTCAAGTCAGGAATTGTGATGCCCTTTGACTTGTCTTTGTTGCCCAGAATTGCCTTTGCTAGCCTAGGTCTCTTCTGGTTCCAGATGAATTTTAGGATTGTTTTGTCTAATTCTGTGAGATATGCTATTGGAATTTTGATTGGCATTGCTTTGGATCTGTGTAACAGCTTTGGAAGTATGGCCATTTTCACTGTATTAGTTCTTCCAAGAGCACAAGATATCTCTCCATTTTCTACTATCCTCTTCAATCTTCTTTTTCAGATCACGTAGTTTTCAATGTAGGGATCTTTTACAACCTTTGTTAGATTGATTCCTAGGTATTTAATTTTTGAGGTTACTATTGTAAAAGGTGTTGTTTCCCTGATTTCTCTCTCAGTGAGTTTGTTATTTGTGTATAAGAAGCCTATTGATTTTTGAGCATTGACTTTGTAACCAGCTATGTTACTTTTAATTTGTTTATTAAATCTATAAGTTTTTTGGTGGAGTTTTGGGGGTCTTCTAAGTAAAGTATTGTGTCATTTGCAGACAATTGTGGTTTAACTTCTTCCTTTCCTATCTGTATTCCTTTTGTTTCTCTTGTCTCATTGCTCCAGCTGATGTTTCCAGGACTATGTGAAGTAAGAGTAGAGACAGTGGACATCCTTGTCTTGAACAAGATTTTTTGGATACTTATTATGTGCTAATAAGTGTATGTGTTGGGGATAAAGAGATGAACCAATTCTTGAACTCCCACTTGTAGGGAAATGGCATAAAATTCAGAAGTATAAATCCCAGGTTAAGCATTATAAAAAATTGGAATTCTGAAATCAGTTGTCTTGGGAGTAGTCCCTTGTTTCTTGATGGATGGGCTGGGACCAAGTTTAAAGGTAAAGGAGTTCCTCTGGCACCTTTGCCAATGACTCAGAGAGAGAACTGTGTCTGGAGGCAGTTCAGGCTCTGGGTCAGGATGGTGCCACCAAGGCCCCCATGCCTCTAAAGGGGATACAGAAGCCAAGTCTTCAAAGGTTTGATGACCTATCAGCATCAATGCTTTCTGTCTAAAAGAGGTGCAGTCTGAGCTCAGAAAGCTGAGCCACCCTACCAGGGTTAAAATAATTTCTGACATAATAATAATACTGGCAGTGAAATCTTATGCTTATGTGATACTTCATGTCTTCAAATAAGGTCCACTTGCGTATCTGTCACTAGAGGTGTTCAGGGTGCACTGAAACAGCCCCAAGAAATTTCTCTATGCACAATACATGTTGTAATGGAGCACCCAACATTTTCACAGAGCTAAGTAACCATATAAAGGCTGTTTTAGGACCTGTTGGGATTAGAAATTGTACATCCAGTTTGGATAAACTATAGGAAGACCTTTTAATGCCCTTCAACTGGTTAATCATGATGTGTTGACTGTGATGGCAGCATCTGTGCTGTCCTGTCAATTCAAGGAATGTGGTCTTGGAATGGTAGTCTTTTCTTGCTATCTCATCCTTATTTTTTAAAATTTTATTTTAAAGAGAATAAAACCAAGCAAAATAAAACAGAATAAAGTCGATCAAAGGAAGACAGTGTAAGTGACACAGGATTTCAAAACAAGATAATAGAAAATCAACAATGGTTACCATAGTGTCTCTTGCTGTTCTTAGAATAGGTGCCTATACCTTGAAGCATAGTAAAATCAAACAAAACAGAATAGAATAGAATCAATAACAATGACAACAATAACAACAAAAATAAATGCAATACAGGACTTCAAAACAAGACAATAGTAAATTAAAAATGGCTACCATAATATATCTTGTTATTGCTGAAATAGCTGCCCATGCCATTGGATATAATAAAATTAAACAAGATAAAACAGAATAAAACCCATCCAAACAAAACAGTGAGACTGACACACAATGTCAAAACAAGATAATAGGGAATTACAATGAACACCACCTTCAGAAGGAGATTCCTCATGTATGCTACATTGCATATTGTTATCCTCTAAATAGATAATCATCAGACTGCTGGCTTTAGGCCTGCAAAGTCAGTGAAATACTAAGCACTACAAACATTATGCCATCATCACAGCCTGTGTTTCAGCTGGTCACTTGCGGGGGGAGGGGTGAGCGCTGGCTCTTCTTGTCTCTCTGCCCACAGAACAGGAGGGGCTGGTGTCTGGCTCTCCCCCAGTCAGCCTGTGCATGGCACCAACTCACAGGACTTCTTGTTCTCCTCCTCCACAGTCCACCTACCTTATCCATTTTTTGCACACTCGTGTAAATTCAAACTGGACCCTTCAGCATATGTTAGTGCTCATCTTTGGCTGAAGGTAAAAATTATTCTGTTCTCTTCCTTTTTCTTCTTTTGGAACTCCATGGTCTCTCACCTAAATTTTCGCTTAAGCCAGGTATTTGTTAGTTGGATGCATTTTTTGTATTACTTAATCTATCTGTACCTGTTTTTCCACATAAAACTGCTTAATGAGAGTTTCTACTTGATAGGGTTGTTATGATGTATAAAAGAGCTAATACTTATAAGGGTGTTCTTGCTAGGTCTGTGTGTGTGTGTGTGTGTGTGTGTGTGTGTGTGCATAGTGTGCATATGCACAAATATGTAAGTGGTATATGTAAAACTAGAGACATCTTGATTCTGACTATTATCACTATTTTTAATTCTAAACTATAATATCAATGAGAACAGTCTCCAGTTCTATGCTCAGTTCTCCTCTAAGACCCTGGATCAGCTTTTCGACTATGCCCACAGGACTCATAGATTGGAAAGGGAAGATTTCCACACATAATCTTGCACTGCCCTGGCCTCATCAAGCCGTATGTTCATGAAGAAGAAACCCATATTCACCTGCCTTAGCCTACATTGGGATAACATGGCTGAGCTCTCAATGTTGATAAAAATGTACTACATTATTCTGGTTAATTTTGGTTTGAGAGTCAGCCTGGGTATGAGCCTCACATTTACCTTTGGCTTAATGCTTGCATTCATAAACTGAGAAGGTAATAAGATATGGATTTGAATTTCTATGATGATAAATGAGCTTCTCTTTATATGGCACTGGCCAACATGCAGTGGGCAAAGTAATAATAACAGTGCTAACTATTAATATTACTATTAAAACAGCCCTTCCCATGCAGATGCCTCTATTTGTGTCTTTCCATATATACCTAGTATAGCTATTGATTTTCACCAGAGAAATGAAACCTATAAAATACATATAATTGTAAGAAAGGATTTCTTCAATGGGCTTACATAATCAGAGACTGATAAGCTGGAGAGAGACCGGTATCTATCAGGATCACTGTGCTGGAAGCCTTAGAAGAAGAAAAACGATGGAGTTCCAACCCCAGTCCAAAGCCAATGGCTTGAAAACTCCCATGGAGAATTGCTGGTGCCAGGCTCCTTTCAAAGGCTGAGAACTTGGAGCTGATACCATAGATGAAAGAGCAGAACAATGAATTTGCTCAAGAAGAGTATAGTATGGGCAAGAGCGAATGAATACCTTCCTCTACTTGCATTTTGTTGCAATAGGCCCCCAGCCTATTGGGTATGCAGGTCATTCTCACTTGGTTCACTGACCTGCATACCGGACTTCTCTGGAAACACCCTCACAGAAAGACCTTGAATTTGCTTTCCCAACTTTCTAGTCATTTCTCAATCTAATCATGTTGACAGCAATGATTAATCATTATGCACTGCCCTTAGTGGTTGAGTTGTGATATTTACTAACTGCTCCTGCTGTGGGGAGCACGTGTGTATTCAGACATGAAGGAGGCAAGAAGAGTTTAGAAAGAAGTGGCCATTTAGACTCTAGAGCAGAGAGTGTTTGGGTGTTTGGTTGCAGAATTCCCAACAACTGACTACTGAATGTGTGTGGATTTCACCTTTTTCATAGTGAAAAGAGGGACATCAGAGCTCCATCACAGAGTTCATCCTCCGAGGATCCCCCTTGACACAAGACTGCAGATGCTCCTCTGTGGTCCCTTCTCTCTTCTTCACATTAGCCCTGCTGGAAAACAGGGCCATTCTGGACAGCAGCCTGCGCACGCCCATGCACTTCTTCCTCCTCTCATTCCTGGCCATTGTGACATGACCTGTGATGGAACCCTGTGCCTAGATACCAGTGAACATGCTGAGCCCAGGCAAGTCCATGATTGGTAAGCTTGACCACAGATTTTGTCAATGGATGCCAGTCTTTAATCAATAAATCTCCATTTCCCCTAAGCCTAAGCAAATAATTAGGTGCATTGACCCTGTGTAAGAGCAAGAATCATTGTGAGGAAATAAGCAGATGTGGGGTGAAAATGGACAGAGGTGTCAGTGGGCTCTTCCTGTGGCTGATGGGTTTTTAAACATAGTATTGCTGGGACTTCATATGGTCATGCTCACAGTTCTGCTATCCCTGAGTGCACCCTTTTAACTCCTAGGTGTCTATTTTAAGCTATTAGAAGTCATAGCAATATGTAAAATGAATTTCTTCCCATAGCGGTTGTCAACTTTATATGTAGATAAGTGGAAAACAAGCAACCTATGTTTGATAAAAATGATGAATCCCGCAAAACCTAAGTGGGGTGGAAAATGGAATGCTTTGTGGAATTTGTATCATTGAGTCTCAGAAAAAGAGAGAAGTGAGTTTTGGCAGTACTGGGTACCCAACATTACAAAGCACTGAGGTTGATGATTCAAGTGTCATACCAAATGGGAAGAAGTTTTTTTTTTGGTACAGCACCCTGTTTAAGACACTTATGATATTGTGTTCCTCAGGCTATGGTTTAGGAGGTTCAACACAGGATCAAAAAGGCTGTAAAAGAGGGATGGAAAGTCTGTGGTGGCCATCCACATGACATAGTACTACCAAAGAAGAGCCTGACCATGCAAAGGTGGGAAGGCCTTTCTGTGCCCCCACCCCCAGCTATGTCCTCAGTATGGCAACCAGAATGCCTGAGGAGGGAACCAGCCAGAAGCAGAGGGACATCATAAAAACAAGCCCATAGGCTGCAAAGAGGATGACTTAGTTGAGCCTGGTGTCAGACACCTAGGCATTAAAAGGGTGCACTCAGGTTGGCAGACAGGCTTTCACAGAAGAAGTGGCTGATTTCATGAAGCCCACAGAATGTTGATAACCACATGGACCCGGGCCAGGCAGTGATAGCTAGGATGATCCAGAATATTTGGTTGATGGTGATAGAACATTGGAGAAGGTGGCTTATGGCCACATAGGGATTTTTGGACATCTGTACCAGAAGGAGGCATTGTGGGTGTGCAAATGTCAATAATGAAAGGTCTGAGATAGACAGCCATCAAAGGAGGTGGGCTGAGCACAGTGCTCCATCATAGACCATGTTCACAATGGCCAGGAGTGAGAGGAGGAAGAATACGGGAGTGTGCAGTCTGCTGTCCAGAATGGCCCTGTGTCTAGGCAGGGTTAATGTGTAAAAGGGAGAAGATTATTTTCAGACTGCCTATGGTAAAACTGCTAACAACATTCTAAAGTCTAGAAATAATCAGCAATGGGAAGATTCCAAGGAGGAGAATTAGAGTAATCCCAGTGAAAGAGGCAATGCCAGTTTCTCAATACAAATATTATCTGTGTTGTTTCAAACATTGGGAATCAGACTTGACTCTCTAGAGCAGTTTACGTGAGAACAGCAGCAAAATGATAAAAAGTGAAGAATGCGACAATGTGTCATTTAGGTCCCAGCAGAGAATCAATAGAAGCCCTACAAATGAGCTTTATGACTATGTTATTTTATAGTGGGTGATACATACAAACCAACTGGCTATTGGGAATTAATCTATGGACTGATTCACAGTTGCCGAGTTTACCGAAGTATTAGTTTTGAATAACAACATATCCAATTTGTAGAAATTGGATTTTTAAGATTTCCTGCTCTTCATGTATTATTGTGAGTTTAGATTTTTGAATGCATTGTTTTTAATAAGCTCAGGGATTCAGGCTTTGACTTGAAGATGGTTGTCAGTATGTGTAGATGTGTGTAAAAATTTTCAAGAGATGGTTTTCTAGGAGCTGTTTGTCATTTATCCTTCTCCTGTGCTGACAAATGCAGACACTAATAGAAGTAGGAGAAGCCACCCCTAGAGTGACAGTGTGTTGGAGGACCCCCTACTTGTGCCAAAAGGAAACAAATGACTATTCATACAACGTGGTAATTAACTTTGTCTTACTTTATTTTTTTCAAGAAAAGCACTTGAGTAGATAAAAGCTGCAATCAACTGAATCACACTGATAAATTAGATATATTAGACCTGCAAGCTGACACATACCTATAATTCTAGTACTCAAGAGGCTGGGACAGGAGGATCACTGTGAGTTTTGAGACCAGACTGGGCTACAAAGTGAGTTCAAAGCCAACCTGAACTGCATAGCAAAACCTTGTCTCAAAAGAATAAATAAGTCGGAGCTGGGGATTTAGCTCAGCGGCATAAGCGCCTGCCTTGCAAGCAGGCGGTCGTGAGTTCGATCCCCAGTACCGATAAAAAGGAAAAAGACAAAAAAAATAATAAAAAAAAAAAAAAAAAAAAAAAAAAAAAAAGAATAAATCAGTCAATCAGTGCATCAGTGGTAAGCAAATCAGTCACCAAATTTCACACTGAAGCACAGTGACATTAAAGTGCTTTGTAGAAAAAAGGCCTTGGAACCATACCTGCTGTGGCAGTAACCACAGAGACATTTGGGTTTTTGGAATTGCTTTAGTTTTTTCCAAATTCTTGATTTTAATTAGCATATGTTTGCAGTGCCTAATGATCTCCTTCATCGTGAGAGTTGATACATGTTTCTACACATGTTAATTCTTTTATCCTCCCTCCCCTCTTCCATTTCTTGGTTCTCCTCCCATTTGCAAAAGGCCTTTAGAAATGTAAGATTTGATAAATACTCACAGATGGCTAATTTGAAGATTTTAGCAAGTTCAGTTAACTTATCATTTCACAGATTATAAAGGCAATAAATTGTTAGACAAGACAATTGGTATTTCTGTAAGTTGGCAACATGCCAAATAACACTGAGGTTTTTGTGCTTCAATCCTGGGTAATATTTCCTCAAAAATAGTATGCATAAGTCCTGCATTTTTGCTGTTGTGAAATCTTTTGTCAATGCCGTTGCTAGAAAAAAGTAATGTGAAGCTGAGCTGTGGAACCTGTGCGTGTGGCATCTGAAGAAAAATGTTTCTCCAGGGTTGTGGAAGGGAAGCCTAATGCTTTGGATCAGACCCTGGACATCAGGTAGGTGCTTCCCAGATCACTGGAAAAGGAGAAATAACACTGCCTAGTGAGACATAAAGCAGGTAAAACCCACTGATCATGGATAAGAACTGGAGGAGGAATTTAAAACTAAGCCTGTAGCTGGATGTTCTGTGTACAGCTCAAGTCCTCTGGGTGTGCTTTGACGTCACCTCATGGTCAAGTGAGGAGCACATGACTGTAACCCAATGCCCTCAGATGTAATGGATTCCCCAAATCCTCAGATAGGCTGGGGACTTAAAAATTCTGTAAGGCAATCTCACAGCACATTTTCACACAATCGAGGGAAGAGATGAGTCTCCTGCTAAGAGAGTGCTGTCCTTTGGGAAGGATGTAGGTAGGGGCCAGCTGGCTTAAGTGGTCATCCATGGGTAACCCTAGGTAGACCTCCGGCTACTCCCCTCTGCTCTGATCCCATACTCATACACCAATTCTTTGCTATTAATTTGCTTTCTTATGTAGATATTTTGATAAAAAGGGAATGTGCAGATCAGCAAAATACTTGGCTGATTTTGCTGGTGTATTGATTATTGTAAGTTAATTCCAGTCAGCTTTATTCATTCTTTTTAAATCTTGGATGATAAATATTTGAATGCAAAACCATATTTCCAAAGCTGTGTCTACAAAGTGAGGTTGGGGTCCTGGGCTGAAGTCACCTCATCTCAGTGTAAGACAGTGGCAGCTTTCAAGAGCATCTCATTAGAACCCTGAAGGTCATCTCCATGGGACCCATATTCATAGATAGCAAATTGTTCTTTCCTCACAAGTGAGCAGTAATTTATGGGATCAGAAAGACCTTGAATTCTCATGAGTGTTTTAAATTCAGAACATGTGGCCAGAATTTGTTTTTCTTCTTAGGATTTTACAAAAATTACTCACTAGAGCAACTTCTAAATTTATTTGGAAAACACCCTAGGCCTATGAAAATGTTATGAAGCACCCTAGGCATATGAAAATGTTATAAAAATGCATCTGAAGGCATCTTTTGGATATCTTAGCATCTTTATTTAGTCTAATTTTTTTCTTTCTTTCTCTCTTTTCTTTCTTTTTTTTTTTTTTTTTTTTTGAGACATGGTCTTGCTATGTAGGTCACATTGGCCTCGATCTCACTATGTAGCCAGGTTGATCTGGAACTCACCACAATCTTCCTGCCTCAGCCTTCCAAGCACTGGGATTTACAGATGTGTCCCACCACGGCTAGATACTTCTTACTTTAAGGAAAAAAACAGTGTTTAAAAAGTATGACTCTTTGAAAGCCAAATGGAGACACAAGTAGAAAGGAGTTCTAAAGGAGTACATGAAGATTGTTTAAGGTTTGGTGCCACGTGGTTAAAAGTCTGGTTCAAAATGGATTGTTAACATATTCTTGAGAGACAATGAACAGATCTACTCATTTCTTTTCTTTTATAATTCTAAGACTTAATAAATGTTTACTAAGTGAACAAATAATGAATAAACTCAAACAATCAAATTGATTGTATTTGTGGAGATTGGATCTGGAATTTCTGGCTTTCTTAAATCTCATTTACTATATATCTGTATCAGGTAAAGGCATCTCTGAGTGAAAAAGTAACACATTTTCTGATGTTAGGCAAGAATCACTGGGGAATTTCTAAAAATTTTCAAATATTCATTCTTTTCCTATTCTAGCCTATACTTTATTTCATTGTACAAGATTTTTCAAGATTCTTAACTGTATATGAATGGATTAAAGCTAGCCTAAAGATAGATAGAAATGAAAAGAGAAACTAAAATTATTAAATATGTGATCCACATCCTGATGTATCATTCATTGTTTTCACATGAAATAATACATTATATGTGCACATACAAGTTAGCTATTTAAAAAGTGCTAAAGTATTTGATGACTAATACATTTTGAGGCATCTCTATGGTTTCAAAGTAAATATCTGAGACTGGAATTACCCTTTGCACCTGAAGAAACCTGTCGGTACTAGATGGGGCCTATGTTTCAATAAGTAACACTTAAGATTTGAGGTGCAGATGAACTCTTTTTTAGTGCTTTGGGCATGAGTCATACAGCATTCCTGAAACGAGAGCTATTTTTAAAATTCTTAATTCAATTGAAGTATTGAATCGTTTTCTTCCAAGTGATAAGAAATATTTGTTACAGTTAATGCTCTCAGTGAAACCTGACTCTATCTGTCTTTAGGGACTCTCTTGTCCCTGTTTTGGGGCCACTGTCACAAGGTTATTGTCTTTGTCCGATTAATCATCCTTTCCTGGACTTCTTTCCTGATGTCTTCTCTCTATTCTTAATTTTCTTTATGTCTTTCCTATAATTTAGCAATCTCAAAATCTCTTTCTCACCTCCACCAATATTTATCCTTGTTTTTTCCAGAGATTTGTCAATGGCTCCAGTATTTGAGTGGTCTCCTAGAAGATTTTGATTACATAGGAAGTTTGTGTTCAGCTTGTCTTGCCAGTAGTCTTAGAAAACACCATCTTATAATTCATAACAGCAGTTTTCTCTTTCAAACCATGTGTCTGGGCTATCAATTCTTTACTTTTTAAAATTTTATTTTGAAAGCAACAGTTGTATTAAAAATACAACAGAACAGAACAGAACAAAGTCAATCAAGACAATGCTGTGAAACTGGTACAGAACTTCACAGCAGGATACTGGGATGGTAGTAATAGGTACTACGGTATATCTCGTTATCTTCACAATAGTCCAGTCAATTAAATATAGAAAGATCAAACCAATACCAGAACATTATAAAACCAATTGATAGTATTGAATAGAGCAAACGAAACATAACAAAACAGTGAAAACAACCTTTGCCTTCAAACAGAAGATAGAAGGAAATGCCTGCTATATTGCATATGGCTATGCTCCCAAGAGATGCTGAGATGTCTATGTCCAGTAGCTACGGGGTGGGGTGGGGTGTAGGCTCATGGGAGCCACTGGTTCTCCTCCTGGCTCATGCTGTGGGCGCTTACCAAGAGGATGGAAGAAAAAGCTGCCTAAGTCCCACCATGACCAGATCTCGGGAGCTCTGGTTCTCCTCCTGGCCCACACCAGGGGTGCTTACCTGGGTTATCAATACTTTCTTGATTTCACAATATCCAATCTTGACAGCATAACTGTGATCTAAGTTACTGTTTTCAGAGCTGTGTTTAAAATATACCTTTAGGTTGAATAAATCTTTTTAATCTAATATGTGATGAAATTTTAATATATTTGACATATTTTATACCTTGAACATGGTATGTCTTAAACAAATATTTACTGAGTAGGTATTGATTTGAGTAAATTTAAGAAAACAAAGCACAATAGCTCCCACATTCTCCCTTGTGCCACAGTCAGGCAAAGAAAACACTAAAAGACATTATAGAGAAAGAGTCTATGTAGCCTTATCATTCAGAAGCCCTTTAATTAGTTACATGACTTTGAGGGTACCAGTTAACTTCTTCAAGCCTCAGCAAGTGTTTTTTTTTTTTTTTTTTACTTTTTAAAGAGAAAAATGGCAGTATTTATTTCATCAGATATGGACAAGACCTACTGAGGTAAATTACATTATTGGTCCCCGGTGAGCACTTGATAACCAGGATCAGATACCACCTGTCTTTAATAGTTTCTTGGAAGACTAAAACAGGATGATTCTGGCAAATACAGCCTCTTTATATTTCCCAGTAATCCCAGTAAATCACAGTGACCAGGGTTCATGGTCCGCAGTGACCATAGTGGTCAGTGAAGACAGGGCCCCGAGAAGGAGACATGGTCCACAGTGACCAGGGTTCATGGTGCTCATCTTCTATTGCCTAGTTTTGTGGTGTTAATGATAATAGTATGATCAAGGTGATTTTTTTGTGGATAATGTAGTCTTTATTATTATTATTACTATTATTTCCAATACTGAGATAATAACCTAAGGGTGTCCCACATAAGCTATACTCTCAACCCCTTTTGCTCTTTGAAATAGAATCTTGCTAAGTTACCCAGGGTGGCCTAAAACTTTTGCTCTTCCTGCCTCAGCCTGTCAAGTATTTAAGATTATAGGTGTGCCATGAGGCCCAGGATGTTCCTCATTATTTATCTAATGTAAGTGTCATAAATTTATTGCTGTCTTGCAGCTACTTTTCCATGACATAAAACAGAATTGATCTAACTGTACACAACCAGTCAGCTATATCTGCAGATCTCATATCTGTAGATCCAACCAACCAAAAATCAAAGATATTCAGAAAAAAAATCATTTCTGCCTTGAACAAGTATAGATTTTTTTTTATTATTTCCCAAACACAAAACTTAACTATTTGAATGACACATGCATTATTAGGTATAATTAATTTATTGCTTATTTAAAATATATGAAAGAATATTTGTATGTTATATACTTGTATTATTCAAGGGATTTGCATATCCATAGATTTTGTATAGTCAGAGGTTCTGGAAGCAGTCTTCCATGCATAGCAGAGTGATAGACCTACTTAGTTTATTAGGGAAAATATATTCAAAAAGCTTATCATTATCTTTCCCCTAGTTATACCCATAGCAGAAAAATATTTAGCACATATTTAGAGAGTACATTTTTTTACCAATCCTTCAAGTATGTTGTTGTGCATTAACAGACAGATTGTCCAAGCAATTTACAGTCAAATAAAATAAGGCACCCGGGTGTTTGCCCACACTTGGTCAAGGCTCTCAGTAAGGAAAGCACTTGGAGGTTGGGACCCTGTCCTGTTTTCTCAAAGCTTCTGTGATGAGCTATGTGACCCTGGCTTCTATTCCTATTTGAAATGCATCAGAATCCTCACATGAAGAGGTTTAATTCTCCTGGGCTCAAACTAATTGGCAGCTCTTGAGGTCACACTGATGTGGCTGGGCCATGAGATGCCTTGCCTGCTTGTCTCTGCTGGGATGAAAAGAGAAAGCAATTTTATCTATTTCTGTCTTCATTCCAGCAGAATCCACAATTAGGAGACACAGACAATCTCACAGAACCCTTCTGAGATCAGATGTCTCCTTCTAGTCCCGGGACACTTGCCATGATTGGCCTCTCGTGAATCCCAGCACTGTCTTCTGTCCACTCTCCACTTGGTTCACTTGAACCTTCAGGAAGCTGGACCTATGTGACCATGCATGACATTCTGACATCACTTCTGCAGCTCAGCTTCCTTGTGAAGTCATATGGGCCCCTGTGCTGCATCAGAAGTGTGAAGACAGGGCCCCAAGAGGAGACTGGTCACATGGAACACGCAAAAGTGTGGAATGCTGTGGCGAGCTGCTTAAGGACATGTAGGGCATTGTGAGGAGTGAAGAAAAGACCAAGATATCCCAGTAGGACCTTTAGGACCTTCCTAGAGGGAAGAGTTTTCAGGGCATAAACCATCAGTGCAAGTCATCCACTGGATATATCCTCTAGTTTCTGTTCTGAAGTGAGGGGCTTCATGGACTCAAAGACTTTCCCTTCCTTAGAAGGCAGGAGGCTGACTAGGCAGCCTCCTTGTCTTACTTACTTTTCTCTCATTCCTGAGACAAAATATCCAACACCCAAGTTAAAGGAGAAAAGTTTTATTTAGCTCACAGTTTGTGGAGGTTTCAGTCTCTCATCCACTGACTTCAAGGCATGGTGACACATGGCAGAGGGGTGACCATTCATGGTGGTAGAAGACAGAAAAAGGAACAAGAGAAGAGTTAGAGCAAGCCCCTTTCAGTTCCTTATATTTGTATGCAGGTTACCTGCTCTGGGGGAGTGTAGCACTCACACCCATAATCCCAGCATTAGACCGTGAATCAATCACAAACTAGAAGCACAATGTCATGATTGCATGAGGCTTTGAATGGACATCTAAACACAGACCATAACAGTACCCTCTGAATTTCTGCTACTTCCTAGAGGTTAGGGAGTCTTACTCCAATTATATTCTCACTTGTGTTTGTATTTCTTACATCATAAATTTTAGGGGTAGGAATATCAGATCAAATTGTTGTGCAGTTTATAAACTAATGCTTTTATTACACTACCATCCTGCACTGCTGTATTTTTAGCAGAAACTGAGGAAAAATCTCACATACTTAATCACATGCAGAGGACGTGCTTACTGTACTGTACTCTGACTATTCCATTCTATTTTGAAGAGAAATACATTTATTTGGAAGCACACGCATGAAAGTGCTGCTGATCACATGAAAAATCTGGTGTGTAGAAGTCAGTTCATAAACACTGGATTTCTCTTTTTACCCAGGTGAACTGCCACTTATGTAAACAAAAATTCCATGAAATCCTGAGAAAATGATAACATTAGGGCATCTAGTGTTCCTTACCATATCTACATCAGTTATAAAAACTCATTTTAGTGTAGAATAAAAAGTTTGAACCAAGATAAGGTAAATATAAAGTTTTATGATGGTGAAAATACTAAAATTTATAGAATGTATCATCTCAAATATATATATATATATATATATATATATATATATATTGTGTTCCATATCAAGTTGAGGCAATATCAGATTTTAAAATTTATCAAAGTGAAGCATGAACATAACTGTATGACAAGCAAGACAACAGGGAGCAGTCAGAACTAAACTGGAACGGTTGCAAACACAAGCCTTTTCTTTGTATGGCAGCATGTAGAAACCAGGAAACTGCCTTTTGGAAGCAGGTGTAACACTTCTTTATAATCAACTTCTTAGTAATACTGGTATACACATGCAATTGAAGAAGTAGTCCAAGGGAACGAGGATGAGGAGTGAGGAAGAGGGGAAGGGGAAATAAGAAGAATGAAGATATGCCACCTACAGGTA